ACCTTATCATCTCTGATATCTTTGAATCCATTGCTAAATATGCTGTTAGAATATGTTTTCTTTAGAGTCCTCCTCTTTCGTTGATCCTCAACATTTTCAAGCCTGACGTGGTTTTTCCAAGGAAGCGTTGTTGTGCCCAACTGACTTAGACAAATACCACCAAACTATAAATTAGGTTATTTTTTCTCTTTGCAGTTGGAGGAGGGGTAGATCCCAGAAACACAACAGGATCCCCAAAGTCCTAGCTTCAAGTAGGTGCTTACATACCTTTACATAGCTTTGTAATGTATCTTGGTGGCAGAATTTGCTCAAAGCTGCCTCTCTACTGGGTTTCCATACAGTAAGCCTACACAGGAGGAAGTTGCTCACCTTTTTCTCAAGGAGCAACTGATGGATATAAACTGTGTACCTTTGAGTTGCTGGTGCATTAGACCATAAAAGTTAAGGACATAAGGCCTCTCTTACAACTAAAAGTTTTAATGTACTCAGTATTTTTTTTTTTCAAAAAGAGATAAAGGTGATCCAAAATGCATTCACTGGAGCATGAAATTATACCTATACATTAAATTCTCAGATTCCATTATAATTTTGGTTAATTATTCATATATCTATGAAATATCAAAAAAGCTCAGATTCTATTATAATAAAACACTTTCCTCATTTTATTGAAATGAAATAAACATACATGCAACAAGTTACATAAAACTCAATCTACAGCCTGCAAGTGACAAAGGCAAAAAGTAAATCACTCAATCATCTTTCCTTCTGACAATTTATCACTTATAGTCTGTGAAAGCACAGATTGTTAGAGGTTCAGGATCACGTCCAACGTAGAAATAAGGCTTGAGTTGTCCAGGAAATTTGTTCAAAAAAGAATGGATATGTGAGCTTGTACTCAAATTGTAGAAGGAAATCTCACCCAATTCAAAGTCCAGATAAACACCTATCCCTTGAGGTTTTTCTTTGAGCTCTAATGTAACTGAAACAGATGCTTGTGCAATATACACGTCATTGCAAAACTGAATTGTCCAGCGTCCATTCTGCCCTCTGGAGGATAAAATAGCCTTCCTGGAAAGAGATTCTGCACAAACTCCCACCATCCATTCAGGCTTGTCATTCACTCTAACTTCCCAATAATGTCTGCCTGTACTGAAGGCTTCAGATCCCAGGATCACTGGGGAAATGCTAAATCTCTTCAGAGTAGGAAGAAGTATTTTCTTTCCAGTCACAAATGTCACAGACTTTTTGTCCTCAGATACGACCAGATTAGGATGTGCTATTTCAGGATCCAGAGTCACCTGTCTTTGAAAGTTCTTTCTCATTTCCTCCAGAGGTGGGTATATGTACCAGGAGTTCACGCGAAAGCTGAATTCCTCCCTTAACTGAATGGAAGAGAGCGGTGGGGCCATATGATCTTCACACATGACGTAGATCTTCTTGAGGCCTGTCAGAAATTTCACATCATCCAACATCACGCTCATATCGACCACTTCCTTGCTGACACTAGAGTAGGTAGTAATGTATTCTGAAACTGCCATTTTATTTGTAAGAATATTTTGTTGAATATGCTTAAAATCATCAGCTAACCTGAAGAGACAGACTTCTTTCTGCCAGTTGAAAAATTGGTTCACAATTTCATATTGAAAAAGAAATTTTTGCCTCCCTTTGGCAATCATCCCATTCAGCTGTTCTTCAGATTTCTTTTGCGTGAAACTGAGATTTTCATAGAGTGTCAATTGCTTCTTCAAGAACAGAGAGTAACCTCTGAGCCTTCTCCTTTGACTAGAAGTAACTTCCTCTAGAGGCTTCACGTTGTGACCCTGGTGGTCTTTGTTACAGATGTGACATAATACACTTAGGTCATCCTCACAGAAAAGTTTCAGGTCCTGACTGTGTTCCTTGCACTGAGGCATCTCTCTCTCCCTCTTTTCCGTGGCGTGGTACAACTTGGCTTCATGCAATATATTTCTCAGTTGACTGTTGTTCCTTAACATTTTATCCTGGCGTGGCTGTTTGCACAATGGGCAAGGGAACTTGACATCCTGATACTCCCAGGCAAGCTCGATGCAGGACCGACAGAAGTTGTGCCCACACTTTAAAGATACAGGGTCTCTCAGGCAGTCCAAACAGACTTGGCATTGGGCCTCTGCCAACACTGTCGCCATTGTTGTCAGTCCTTAGGACCGTTGAGATCTTCAAGTGTTCCTCTTTGATGTTATGAAGTCACTGATCCTATCCTACAGAAGAATGAAGAACAACAGTGGATTCACTCACAACAGCTAGGGATCGAGTCCTTTGTCAACTCCCAGGATGTGATTCTTCATTAAAGAGCTGTCCTGCTTAGAAACCAGCCTGGCACTCAAGATGATAATTTGTTCCTGTAGATGAGAAAAAATTACAGCATTAATGCAGGAAGTTCGAAACACAGAAATAGGATTGTTTGTCTCCAACCCATTTCACAAAGCCGTGAAAGGCAGGGACAGTGGGGAATCAGTGTAACCTACAATAGTCTAAGTCTGCACACCAAGGAACCAACAGGCGAAGGCTATGCTGTATTGGTTTATTGTTGAGTCCCTTCCAGGTGAAACTGACTCATAGTTGACCCTCTAGTGAGTTTTCAGAGGCAGAAGATTGCACAGGAGGAGATGCCCATCTTTTGCCTGCAAAGCAGCTGGTGGATTTAAGCCATCTACCTCTGGATTGGCAGCACAATTCCTTACCATTAGCGACTAGGGCTTGATCCAGGTGCAGTCACTATCATACCTTGATCAAATTGCCTTCTGTCACCCTCCTTTTTAATGGAAGTTCTCCTAACCATTTTTTCAAACCCATGGTTAAGCACAACCTTCTAACATTTTGAGAATTCATAAATTGCTGTCATGTTGCATACTTTGGACATGTTGCTTGTTGTGGTGTGCTGTCAAGTTTTAACTGACTCATAGGTGATCCTCTGCGGGATTTTCACAGGCAGTTAATTCCATGAGAGGAGATTGTCCATCCTTCACCCTCGGAGCAGCTGAAAGCCTCAAATCACTTGCCTTCAGATTGCAAGGCAACTTATTGCCACTAGGCCATCTGAGCTCCTTGGATATGTTGCTGGGAGAAGATATTCCGTAGAGACGGACACCATGTTTGGAAAGGCGGAGAGGTGGTGAATGAACTTTTATCATAATTATACTTTCTTCACTGACTTATGCCACTAAACAGAACTAATTTCGTTTCATTTCATCCATGACAGGCATTTGTTCTCGTTGTTGTCATGTACTGTCAAGTTGCCTGTGACTCACAGCTACCCTATGTATAAGAGCTTGAAAGCTGCCTTGTCCGGAGCCAGTCTAATTGACTCCAACACACTGCCCTAGTTACAGTATCAATCCATCTCACGTGGGTTCTTCCTAACCTGTGTTGTCTTTCCACCTTTCCTTTGCCAAGGATTGCTCTCTTGATCCCATGCCCAAAGTATGAGAGACAGAGTATCACAATCCTAGCCACCAAGGGGAAACTTTGTTTCATCTCCTCTAAGAAAGACCTGTTTGTTTTCTTGGTGGTCCATGATATGTTCAAGCTCTTTTCCAAAACAAAAACTTAGAGGCATAGATTCTGTTTCTGTCATCCTTAAATCATTCTCCAGCTCTCTGATGCATAACATGTAATTGCAAAGACCACGGATTGGATCAGGTACGCCTCATTCTCTAGACAGACATTGCTGCTTTTCAGTGCTCTGAACAAGTCCCTGAAGGCAGATTTACCTAATGCATTTCATCTTTTGATTTCTTAGTTCCTGGTGCCATAAGTGTTGATTGCGGAGCTGAGCAAGCTGTAACTCTTAACAACCTCAATCTCTTCTTTATGTATCATGGTGCTGCCATTTGGCCCAGTGGTGAGAATCTTTGTCTTCTTAATATTGAACGTCAGTCTATATTGAAGACTTATGCAGCAAATGCTTCAGCTCTTCCTCAGTTTCAGCACACAAAGCGGTGCCATTTGCATAACGTAAGCTGTTGATGAGTCTGCTGCCATGCTGCCCATAAAGCCCTGTCTCGTTCATGGTCTGTTCTGCATGTAGGTTGAGAAGATACGGAGACAGAATGCATCCCTGACTCACACCCTACTTGATTTTGAACCATGCAATATTTCCCTGCTCTGTTCTATGACTTTACTTGAAGTCACTACTAAACTGCTCACCTCCATGATGGATAGACAAATCCATATTCCTAGTTCTCCACTAAAAGCAAACAAAGATTCTGGGTTTTGGTCTAGGTAAGCATGACATACTGTGAGAATTAAGTAAAACCATGTCTTTAAAATGTTTACTCCACATTAATATCCTACCTCATGGTTCTTAACCTTCAGTCCACTCACTCAAGCAAAAAATATCATTAAGACACTTTGGAAACTAATTGATTGCACTCTTCGGAAACACAAATATTCAGCCATCAGTTTTCTAGCTCCATTGATCTATCTATCTATCTACACACATTTTACTATCCTTTAAAAAATTATACTGGTTTGTTTACAAAATTCATATATATTGTTTTACATATGGGATGTTTCCCATTTCCTTCACATATCCATCCCCCACTGATCAAGTTGTGCGAAAGTATAAATACTAATGAATGAAGACTAGATGATCTGTGGGAAGATATCAATAATATCGTCCATGAATAATACAAAAGAAAATTATAAAGAAGAAAGAAATTGAAGATGAAAATGGTTGTCAGATGAGACCCTGAATATGGCAATAGAGCACCAAGAAGCCAAAGCAAAGGGAAGAAATGAGTAAGTTCAGGAGCTGAACACACAGGAGAAGATGCCCATCTTTTGCCTACAAAGTAGCTGGTGGATTTCAGCCATCTACCTCTGGAGTGAAACAAACTGTGGCTGACTCTGAGAAGAATGGGAATCCCAGAACATTTGATAGTTCTAATGTGAAACCTATACTTGCACCAGGAGGCAGTCGTCAGAAGAGAGCAAGTGAATACTGCATGGTTCAAAATTGGGAAGGGCAAACACCAGGGATGCATCCTATCTCCATATATTTTCAACCTATATGCAGAACAGATTATCC